ATTTCTTTAATAAACTAACCATATTTTTTTATTCATTATTGCTTCTTTGTTGCTCTGTGAGTACTCTAATACAATTGGAGATGCAGCGCTCACATCTAAAGGGCTACTCTTAGGAGTGAAAAATTAAAGCAAAACATTTCTCTCTGCTAGAGAGGTTACCCGAGGCCTGATTTAAAAATAAAAAAAAATAATAATAAAAATAAAAAGGTTCTTTGAGTCTGAGACCTAAAAGAAAGAGGAGTGTGTATAAAACAGACAAAATACAGAATCAACAGAAGATGGTCCAAACACTATTAAGAAAAGCAATGGCTAATCAGACAGTAAAAGGATCTGATCAGGAAGTTGTTGGAAAAAGCCACGCAGTTATGCAAATGACAAATTACTAAGATGTTTGCTTTTATAGGACAGGACATTGTGAGACTGTATGGCAATAGTGACCCAGGACCTCATATTGGAGAGTCTAAAGGCAAGTTTGTGTCTTAGTTGTTTTATTTGTTCCAGTCAGCACAGGACAGTGAAGAGATGTTGTGAGTAATCCTAATTATTCAACCTGTGATTATAGACTGTGCTGACTAGAATGTAAGCTTGCGCTTTCTCTATCACCAAAATGAAATGGACTAAATCACTTGTATAATTAAACTAAACAATTACTTTGCATTGAGAATGCACAGTAATTTTATTTTCAGTAGTAAATAGGCTTAAAATGACCTCTGGGATTGGAAGAGCTCAAACTGATAGAAAAACAATAGGAAGTTACAACCTAATTGAGCTTTCTATAATCCTTTAGAATCATTCAGCGGCAATGCCGAAGCAGAGATATGGGAGATGAACAGTTCAGAGGATGATGACAAACCGGAAGGCACTCACAGCTATTCTATACTGAAATCCTTATATGCTCCATATTTAATTCATGGGTTAATAACTACAAGCCTGTAGGAGTCATATTCTTTATAGTTAAATGTTTTAAATTTTGCTTATTTTAAAAAGCACAGTTGAAATTCTAGCAGTAGGGACCTGGGAGCAGGGGCATCCCATAAAGGTAAGCCAGTTCCTGTGACAATTGTGTACCTAGAAGAGCTGTGAATTTAAATCAAGAAGTTACGCTTCTGCCTCCAACATAAACTTTAATAGCAACAACTGAACTTGGTTCTTTGGGAGGTAATTTCCTACTTTGGAAAATAAAATAGATTATGTTGGTAGGACGTTTAAGACACAAGTCTTTTATCCCTGCTTTTCCATAATGCTATTTTTCACCAAATGTTTCAGGGATTTTTAGAAATAGAAATAGAGACCCAATAAATATCTCTAATGGTTGCCAGAATAAGAGATGATTTTGTCTAAAAGTAGAGGAAAATATAACACAACAAGAGAGAGGGGAGGGATTACGGCTGCTGAGAGAAATGGGGACATAGGCCTGTAAAGAAGACGCAACCATCACTTGAGCTTTTAAACCTTGGATTTTGAACTTGAATTTTGATACCTTCAAGCCCTTACGTATGGCAATAATCTTATCTATTAAGTACCAGTTGCTTTACTAAGTAGAGAAAGATCTGAGAGCAAATACAACCATGCACTTTTGGAAGCAGGAGCCCTGTAGAAATGATAGCGTTGCAATGGAGGCTACTTTATACAGCACGTACCAAGTCAGATACCCAGGCCAATTTTCTATATTTGTTATTTCATCAATTCTCAAATGGGTGCTATGATCACAGCTAGCTTATGAACAAGAACACAAAATATACCAGGCATACTTATCTAGAAGCTGTCAAAGATAATCTGAACCCAGACTTTCCAATTTCAGAGACCAACCTATACTGTGGCCTGAACTGCCATTTAACCCAACTTACTGTCTCAAGAGGGAGCTAAGTTCACAAAAGTAAATTCACATAACAGGCTAGAAGCGAATTTAACACCCACTTTATGATTTGGTCTCTTAACCTTTTTTTTTTTTTTCAAAACCTTTTGTTTGCAAAATGTTATTTAGTGTTGCTTTAGTGTATTTCTGAATGTTTGTACTTCACCTAATTCTTCAGGAAAGAAATTTCCCTATTTAGTTACCACCACATCTTGGTCCAGTGGAATCAAAGTGAACAATAAAACTATAGTTTAGATTAATTGTGTGCTTACTTATGAATAATCATAGTAAAACTGAGCAAAGAATCTTAAAATATGGAAAACTGAAGTTGAGGAACATATTATTCAACCCTGCTTTGAATTACAACAAAAGCGGGAAAAAATATGTTCATTTGGCGTCCAGAGCAAGTGAAGCGGCATGCAGCAGGGTCCTAAAATGTTTAAAGGAAGGAAAATTATCTAAAGGACTAGCTAGAATATTTTTTAAAGCAACCTCAGTGAATTTATTAAAACAACATTCTGATATACTTGTACTTTTTACATGTATTCCATTAGCTCTTCCACATTCTAAAACAACTAAAACAACAGAATAGAACAGAACACACACACACACACACACACAGACCAGCACACACAAGTGCTTAGGGGTAGTGGCCCTGAAGGGGTAATGAATGAGACATGTAAAAAATGAATACTTGCTGGCTGAATCTAGCCAGACATTATAATCCATCACTGATCCCTGAAGGGCACTAATAATATGTAAATGTGCGAATTAGAAAACACAGTGAAGGCTGTTGATAAACTTGATAGGATAATCAGCACATGCTGACAGACTAATGAAACTGATGAACTGATAGGGTGGCTTATCTCCTAGGCCATTTTTTTTTTCCTTGTCAAATGGAGGCTAATCAAAATGTATTAGGAGTTAAAGCAAACACTCGGGGGATTTAACCCATTTGATTAGGAGGTGAATTCACTCTCAGAGAAAATTATAGTTTCCTGAACAAGTGAAACTATAAAACCTGACCAGCTGACAGAGCTTTACATAAAATCAAACAGAAGGCAGCCACCATAATTACAGGAAGAATCCGCTATTGGAAATTATATAAGGGTCCTCCCCTAGAAAAGTGTCAGGGTGATTTTCAGAATCTGAGCAAAGAGACAACCTCCTTTCATTATGGAGAATAACACAAAGAGCCAGACAATGGCTCTAGGGACACACTTATCTTCTGCTTGTGAGAGCTCAGTGCTCATGTAACCGATGGAGAGGCAGATCCCAAGGAGCCAGCTCAATTCTCAACCCAATTTATTTACATAAAATAATTGAATGAATTTTCTGAAATCACTAACTGTTGAGAATACTAGCACTTCCCATTAGCAGTAAAGAGACCACATGCAGTTTGTCACCAAGGAAGTAGAAACCTAAACCCAATTTCAGCAGAGATATCTTCTTTGACAATTGATTAAAACCTGTGCACTAAAGTTATGAATAAAATCAGTGTAAAATCACTTTGCCTCTTTAGATAAAGCTAGAGAAAAAGAATCCTTAGAATATTTATTCTGTTATAAAAACTATTCAGCATTAAAATGTAAAGGTCTAACGAATCTGTCCAGTCTAGGTACAGGTGTACGTCTCATTCACGCGGACAGATAGCAAAATGAAAGAGAGCAAAAGGCCCTGTTTTAATCCAGTTAAAGCTTGAAGGCAAAAATACATTTAATGAAGCTAAACTTTACCGTGGTGGAATTATATCAGAGAAGAAAATTAAATGCCCAGTGTCCTCTTTGATGTGAGCATTCAATCACATTAATGCTGGGTAGGCCAGCTGGAGGTGGGTCTCCCAGAGTTATAGAATGGCATTATTAACCCCTTCTACGTGAGATTTTCTTTTCTGTTTACTGTAAGCCTACATGGTGCGTCATCCCATCTCTGATTATGTCTATACTTCTGTCATTTAAGGTAAGTGTATGAGGGATTTTTTTTGTTGTTTGTTTGTTTTCTTTTCATTTTTGTGAATAAACATTTTTCAAGTCATGTTATGTTTGTGACTTTGTGTGTATATACCACCATGCAGCCAGTATCAAGTTTCTCAAATCATATGATTTGCATTGAAGACAAACCTGTTGGTCACACAGCTTAATCCTACTTATTTCATAGATATGACGGAGGTCTAGAAATAAAAGACTTAATCAGGTCTAATGAATGGCAGGTATGAGTTTGCATGTTCTGCTCTAGAAAAAAGAAATATTTGATTTGAAGAAAAAAACTAAACCTCTCCAGTTCCCGGAAAGACTTATACTAACCCATTAGCAAGGCATCTTAGACTACATGAGCATTTTTTCCTCTAGAGTCTCATGCTGAACAGGTACTTTCTAGTTGTGCCTACCACCAAACAGTTTATGAAGACCATTTCTAGAGTAGTAATGGATTAATCATAGGTGATAAAAAGTTTGATTAGAGTTTCCAGTTCTTCACCTCTTGAACCCCGGGGGGTGGGACAGGGAGTGAATCTGTGTTCTAGGTTTATGCACATTCTGACTGGTAAAGAGAATTAAGCAGATTACTCAACACAGAAAAATAATCATTGTGGCATATTTACCATGTTCCCAGTCTCATTCTAGTCTCAAATACTACTCTGAAAAAAGCTATGAGAACCCAAGGCCTCATTCATGAAAGCAATGAGGGTTGCTTCAGATATTCTCATCTTTTACATGCACCAAAGTTCATGAATCTCTATATCACTACAGGGGTCAAGTACTGAGACTATTCTGATAAGGTGAGTAATATGCTAAAAATATTCTAAATTTGATAAATTCATTGAAATGAACACATATTTTATACGTGCCAAAACATAACCAAAAAATTCAACGTAAGTACAAGATGTTATTTTCTCATTCCCTAGTACTTGGTACCCAAGTGGTGCTGAGAGTACTTTGCAAAAAAATATGGAATTTATCAAAGATGGCACAGGCATTAGCCCATCTCTTTACTCATGTCAGAATGAGGGCTCTGCTGCAATGTGGATGGCACGCAGTGTGGGCATTGCTCTGTGACTGCTAATAAGCTGATAGAAACCCACCACACATAAACACAGGTTCTTCCTTCTCCGCAAATCCCTAAAAATCAATTAAAGCGCTGTACTTACCCATCATGTTATATAAGCTCTGAGGTGCAAACTGCCTTGGCATTTTCTGAATCGCTTCCTTATATACACTTAGGGCATCCTAATTTAAGGAACAAAAAGAAAGATAAATCATCATTAGAGGACAAGGATAGTCACTGAAAGTAACATAATAACATTTCTCCAAAGCTGAAACTACCCATTTCAGTTTCTGAATGGTTCACTAGAGGAAAATAATTGAGCTGTCCTCTGATACCACACTGCCTTAATTTCACGACTGAAAACAGCCCAGTGAGGAATGCCACATAAAAGTTTAGCTTAACAAGGAGCTGAATGTTGGCGATGCTCTTTTAATATAAAATTTCCAGTTCACACAGATTACTCAATAAGAAGAGCTAAAATAAACGCATATTTGGAAGTTACTGATCACTCATCCTAAGTCTACAGTTGCTTGAACTCAAGCAACACGTGGGGTAGAAAGAACATACCAGCAAGCAAATAAATCTTTCCACTGACAAGATTTACCGAAACTGTTAAAGGAAATTGTTCTAGAAGGTTCATCTTCTTCCTCCTATTACAGTCTGAAGAATACATGGGTGGGATGGGGAGCTGTCTTGATAAAGGACAGTTTAAGTGATGAGGGAGACCAAAAGGCCATGTAGCCATGGTTTCTTGAGTAAAGAGGGTGCGGGTGGGTCAGCTAACTTACTGGACAGTATCTTGCTTACTACCTCCTCCACCGCTAAAAATACGTTATTTTTATTTAATTGTTCTTAAAAGAATTAAGGAAAGTAGGTAGCATTTAGATCAAATTACTTTCTTGACATTCAGAGTACAAATTATCTTTTTTAAAAATACCAAACACACAGTAGAGGGTAATGATTCTAGAAACCATATCTTGGATCAAAGAAATGGTGAGCAATGTGTGTGCTTTTCTGTTCAACAGTCACTACAACTATCAACATAAAGTGGAATGTGAACAAGTCGGCTTCTCAAGAGACTGTAGTTGCCCCACTAAGGAGGTGGTAGTTTAGAAAACGTTGAGACTATATCATAACAGGAGGGCGGGGAGGTGCGAGGTGTGGACAGACCTCATAGTGTCCTTGTTCATGATAGAGTTTCCCTAGGTTGTACAGACAGCTGGTAACAGAGCTCTTGTGTGCATGAGGGTCCTTCAGGTTTTCATCTGGAATCTCGGAACACTTTAGGAACGTACGCCGGGCTTCTTCTGTCTTCCCTTGGTTCATCAAAATAATGCCGGTGTTTAAATATGCAGCTAAGTGGCAAGAGCAGAAACAGAAGGGTGATATGATATGCATGGTGGATCAAAGGTATATTGACTTCATCTCTCTTCCAAAAGATATTTCTTATTTATTAAAAAAATCATTAAATAAATAGGGAACAAGCACAGTATCAATAATGGTAGCAATAACCCCAATTATTACTAAAAACATTGCCTTTTCATTCAAGTGAACTCCAAAGTTTTTTGAGCTCAAAAGCTAGTTAAATAAAAGCCTGAGCTATTGGAGTACTTTGTAAAAACTGGGAATGGCATTAAAGAATGAAATTCAGAGAGAGAAGGAGAGAGAGAGAGAGAATTGTCAAATTTAACAAGTATTTAGAAATAGGAATACCACACATATCCTCTTTCTCTGAAAGGTTTTAATACAGAGATAAAGGAAATATTGCAATGATCCCAAAACTTTAATGCTACTTACAAGCCAGGGTAGGCCTGCTCCCAATGGCCAGTTTATAATAATGCAGAGCTTCTGTAAACCTGCTGTTCTCCTGAAGCAGCAACCCTCTGCAAGAGGAAAAAGGAAATGCTGAACGAGAGCTGTATTACTATACAGAAAACCACACATTTTGGTTTTATATTCCAAAGGTAAAAATGGTCAACAGCCCAATAAAAATGCTGACCTGGCATCATAAAACTAAATTCTAAATGGAAGGAAATGATCTCTCAGGAGGAAAAAATCCTACACAGGTATCAGTGTACCCTTGTTCCATGAGAAAGTATTAAGATGGATTTTCAAACAGATTTCTGTAACCAATGAACTTCCCCCTCTCCAGTCTTTTTTCCCTCCCATTCAAATGGTTAGCCACCTGGATCTCTGTTAGGAACACACACATTTCCTCCTCACTTCACCACAGAAACCTGTGGAGGGCAGGGATATACACATAGAAACATGAGATGCCTCCCTCACTAGCTGTTGCTTGGGAAATATTTATCCGTGACTCCCCAGTAGGCAAAAAGCTAAAAGCTGTCTTATTCAGCAGCAAAGGAAGAGACAGATGCCATAAAGAAACAAAGAGAAAGGAAGGCCATCTATTTCAGTGCTGCTTGAATTTACTCAAATAAACTTGAATTTTAGAATGCTGTGCAAATTTCAGTCTACCAGGCAGAAACACATCTTCTATTCCACACACTCAGACTCTTGGGATCTCTCTAGGACACTCTTTAAATAGTACCCAAATGTATTCATCAAGCCATTCCAAACTCCACCCTTATGACATAAATGGAAATGAATTATAATCATTTCTATGAAAATAAGATGTCAGAAAACTGAACTAATTAGAAAGATCTCCCTAGGGCTTTGGTCTAGACCCCTTCGCTGGTAAACAGTAAGAATCTTACAGACAGAAGGTCTATTGAGCCAAGAACTGTTATTATGATGTCAGTTGCAAACTCAACTCAGCAGCTTCCCTGGCTATTGAAAGAGGAGTAAAATGGAGGTTACTGTCAAAACATGACTTTGACTTTGTTGAGTATTACTGTGGTTATGAATGGCTAAGATTTTGCTGAGGACTCACTTGTAAGACTCTGGGGCCCTCAACAGCAGGTGATGAGAGCTTTCAAAGATGGGGGCTGATGGGAAGAGGTTAATTCTGTTCCAAGTCACTAGTACTGATGTACTGTTAGGTTTTGAAGATACGGTTATTTAGAAGGCAAACAAATGAATAAGAAAACAATACTGCCACTCCCATGTATGGCTTCATGTTTTACCATGTGAACTGCCCACTTATGTAAACTGCCCACTGCTGACTTCTTTCTTCCTGGATCTCATCCTCCCTTAGACTTGGCATCCTGTTCCTCCTAGCCTTCTTCCAGTTGGGAGACCATTCTGTGCAGAATGAAAACCCTGGCTACTTCTTTATTCATATACTGCTTTACAGGAAGGTGGTGTTCCACAACAGTTTGTCTCTTCTCTTCATAAAGTCTGCATGTCATTATGCGTTAATGTGGCTTACACAGAGGCAAACTGCCTTCACCACTGAAGTAATGATCACTCTCCTGACATCCAGATGTTTCTATCAACTGAATAAGCCATGTCAATCTAGGGGCTCAGTGGAATTTCCAAAGCCAGTAAACTAAAATGTGAAGAATAGCTCCTGCTCAAAAAAGAAATCAGAAGACAGATAAAAAAAAAATTAAAAAAAACCCTCTTTGAATTGATAGCAGCATCATATCAGCTCCTAAAACCAGAAAAATGATTATCATTGGTTTTCACAGTTACACGCTTTGTCAAGTCTCCAGAGCTATTGACTCTTGTATGCTGTGGCTCTTCATTTGTCCCTGCAGGTTCATTTCTATAACTCTGTCAGAACCATTTTTATTTTTTCCACCACCTGAGTAACTTCAAAGCACACTAATTAGTCTCTACATAATTACATTTCTAAAGGGCAAATATGCTATTAGGATATATGGAGTGAATGTGTTGGGGAGAGCCTTAATCTGACTCTGTGCCTACAGCCTACATGCCTGAAGACTGATGTACTTGGCATCATGGGATAGCCTATGGTGATACATTATATTCTGTCACTTTCTGATTCATAAAATACACACAGAGCAGAGACCAGCGTGCAGTATGACAATAAATCCTTCACATTTCTGTCCCATTTCATAAAGACAGCAATGAGGGAATTCAAGTCAGATGACTGTGGTGACCGATTTCCAAGGGGTAAGGATTTCACTAAGCATCAGCTCACCTTTCTAGGTGTGCCACAAAAAGTAAACAGGATAACTGAAAAAGGCACTCTTACATCCCAAATAACATTGTTAATGTCTGCTGAGCATGCACCCACAAACAGATTAAAAATGCTATAATCAGCCTGATGTTACACAGGAAGAAACGAGATTCTAAGAATTAACAAACTAACTGGGGGGGGGTGTTAGTTAAAAGGAAACAGAGCTAGAACTGGACATTGTTTTTCTGAAAATGAATGCCATGCTTAAAGCTGGATAGAGTGAGAAACACATTTTGTTTTCTTGGCACTTTGTAGAAAGACATAGGAGAATCGAGATTAATGTCATCCTGGCTGTCTACTGAATTTGAGGAAAATCTGTCCAACATGGAAAGAAAAACAAATACAAACAAACAAAAGTAAACAAACAAACAAACACATACAAAACCTACATGATGCCAAGGGAAGGATTCAATAGATCTAAAAAGCTCTGAGGCCTAAGAAATACAAAAGTGGTCAGCACCATGAGATATCCCCAAGAGTGTGGTAGTGGCATTTATATCTTGGGAATAAACAGCAGTCTGTCATTTATTTGACTTAAAGCCTCTTTAACAGAAAGAATTCATGGCTACTACATAAAACTAGCTATTTTCTTGTGGGTGGCAAGAGGCCATGGAACTGAAAAGAGACCCAGCCCAGCACTGTCACTGTTTGAAACCAAGGTAAACTTAAATGTATTCCAAATACTTAAAAAAAAATTATTTCCTTGTTGTAGCCCCATTCCACCTCCCTTACCAGTCCCACCTTTTTTCCCCTCCCTCTTCCTCCTCCCCTATTTCGCAGAAAAAGCAGGTTCCCTTTCCCATCCAGCTCAGCTCATCAAGTTGCATCAAGACTGAGCATGTCCTCTTTCCCTATGGCCTGTCAAAGCAGTCCTGACAGGGCAAATGATCAAAAAGCAAGTGAGTCCATGTCCTGTGCAGTCCCCTCTTTCCTTACTAGGGAACCCATATGAAGCCTAAGTTGTCCATCTTTGTAGGGGTCCTAGGTCCAGTTCATGCATGGTCCTTGAGTGATGCTTCAGTCTCGGCAAGCCCCGCTTGGCCCTGGTTAGTTGTCTCTGTTGGTCTTCTCGTGGATCTCCTGTCACCTCCATGTCCTTTTCTCTTTCCTCCCAAAATACTTATCCTTATACAAGTGTAGTTCTCGTGCCTTGTCAAATAAGTCTCTTTTTGCAGCAGTCAGAGACCATTATGCAAATCTAAAACTGGTCACAATACAGAAGACAACTGTCCACGGGGTTCCCCAAGCCCAAATGAATCATCCACAAGACATAGAGAGACATGGAGGAACATAAATGAAAAAGGACTGGAACAATTATAAGACCCAGGGGTAGAGTGTGGTCGGTGGAGGGAGGGTGCCTGCTACAAGTCAATGTCCTCTAGATATTACAAGGAAGTGACACCTATGAAATTGCAACAGGAGTAGCCCTTAAACAAGACCAGCGCAAAGCCAGCAGCAACTGACATGCCGGTGTGGGTGGACAAACCTCACAAGACCCCATCCCTACCCAAACATCTATAGACAATTAACTGCTGCTGAGAGAAGGACATTCAGCCTTTTCAATCACCTTAAATGGTCATTCTAGCAACACTAATGAACTCATCAGGTTATATTGATATAAACATGAAAGTAAGAGGCCGTGAAATTGAGAGGGAGTAGAAGAAGAGACACAGGAGTTAGAAGAGAAAGATGGAGGCTGAAATTAAATTTTACTAGTTTAAAAAATCTGCATGCTGTTGATAGATGTAAAAAAAAAAGACAAAGATTTTCATTTCTAGATACACATAGACAGGACACTGACCACTTTCCTCTAAAACTCAAATTTTGTGTAACTATAGTTTGTCTTAATATACTGAAAAGGAACCTGTCTTCTTGAAATTCCATACTGATTTTAGATTATCCTAAAAAATACTACGGTACATTTACAAAACCTATAGTTTGCTTTGTTAAAATATGTAGCAGATAGATAGAAATTCCTTGCAGTGCATATCTTGCAATGATAAAGGTAGATAGACTCATTCAGCATTTACAGCATTCCAAGCAGTTTACATAAGTAACAACAATCATATAAGCAGATTATTACATCAGTCCCTGTTTTATCTATGATGAATCTTAGGCAAGAAGATCTATCTATCTATCTATCTATCTATCTATCTATCTATCTATCTATCTGTCTGGCTGTCTAACTATCTATCTACATCTATTCTATCTATCATCTATCTATCTATCTATCTATCTATCTATCTATCTATCTATGTCTTTCTATTAACTATCTATCATCTACCACTTATCTATCTATCTATCTATCTATCTATCTATCTATCTATCTATCTAT